GCAGCAGAGCAGCAGCAGCAGCAGTGGAACGACGCAGCAGCACAGCTGCAGCTCCGGGTAGTGCCGCAGCTAGACGTAGCAGCAAGCAAGCTCAAAACAGCAGCTTTGCTGCTGCAGCAGCTGCAGCAGCAGCAGCAGCAGCAGCGGGCATCAGCAGGACAGACGAAGACCTTGCAGCCGTCGTCTCCTGGTGCTGCTGATGCTGCCGCTGCTGCAGATGGAGGGCCCGGCTGTTTTGCTGCTGGCGCTGCTGCTGCCTGGAGCAACAGCAGCAGCACAAGGGGCTCGCTGTCTGTAGATGCTGAGGGAACTTCTGGGAAGCAGCAGCAGGAGGTGCAGCAGCAGCAGCAGCAGCTGCAGGAAGAGTTGCTGCTGCAGCAGGAGCCGCCGCAGCAGCAGAGAGACCAGCAGTTACTCGCAGCAGAGCGGATGCTGCATGTAGCAGCAGCAGCAGCAGCAAAAGAAGAGGCGCAGCAGCTGCTGCTGTCCCTTACGCAGCTGCGGCTCTTGTCCACAGCAGCAAGCAAAGCTGCTGCTGCTGGCTCTGCAGATCTGCATGCTGTAGCTGCAGCTGCAGCAGCAGGAGCGGAGGCAGAGCAGCAGCAGCAGCAGCAGCAGCAAGCCACGGAACTGCTTGCTGCTGCATTTGGGGTACCAGACGACCAATTCGCATGCTTCACTCCAACCGCAGCAGCAGAAGCAGCAGCAGCAGCAGCAGCAAACAATGCAGCAGTTGCTGCCAAAGACAGCGCATTGGAGCGGTGCAGCAGCGGCAACGGAAGTACGTACAGGGGACGCTGCTGCTTTCTGCTGCTGCTTTGTTTTGCTGCTGCTGCTGCTTTCTGCCGCTGCTGCGGCTTGTTGTTGCTGCTTCTGCTGCATTCTGCTGCTGCTACTTTCTGCTGCCGTTGCTGCACTTGTGCGTCCAATTACCGCTGCTGCTGCTGCTGCAGTACCCGCCCAAATGGGGCCTGCTGCTCTGTGTGTGTTTGCTGCTCCTGTTCCTGCTGCTGCAGCTCCGCCTGCAGCAGCACCGGCGTTGGCTTGGTGGCTGCAGAAGGTCCATATTGTCTCCAGTAGCTGCAGCAGCAGCAGCAGCAGCTGCTGCTGCTGCTGCAGCTGCGGCAG